TTCTCCCATCCCATTATACCTCTTCTTCACAAAGGGAATATTTTTTTCTCTTCGTTGTTACCCATTCACCCCCGCCCCCATATGGTCGATACCCAAGCCATTGTTTCCCTTCCACGCCGGGGGATGACCCCCAGACTCAAAAATTATCAACGCCGGTTCGGGGGAAGATCGCTTGCAGAGAATGAAACCGGCCAGCTGGATCCCTTTTGATCCCCAAGTGGCCACAAGCTTTCCATTGGACAAAGTGCCTGGATCCCCTATCGAGAGTGGCAACACTAGTCAAACCAGAACCGTCGGGTTTAAACTCGTTAGAGGACCGACTAGATCCAACTGGTGGTTTCCCTGATACCAGGGTACCTGATCCCCCGAAGACAGAAGGACTGCCAGGCGAAAGAGGGTCGCCGTGTTTGGATCCAATGGTGGATCCTACGAAGACGGAAGATGAGCAAGTCTGCTACCGTGAAGGCGGGGATCTACACGCCGAGGATCTTGGAGAAGGTATGGCGGTAATCCCGGAGGTACCACTGACCACCGAGGAGGTCACGATTGATGATATCCAAGTGGATCCAGGGGCGAACGAACCCACTGAAGTGGATCGTCTGCGTCAGAAGATCTGGGAAAGCCGACATCTGCTGATCGGTAAGGGTAATGCGTTACCGCCCGCCGCCCGCGGAGTCAAATGTGACATCGATGTCGGCGACGCGAAACCGATCGCTCAAAGGGTGCGGAAGGTGGCACCTCAGTTCCGAGAAAAACTGTCAGATCTGATTAAGGGCCTGCTGCAAGCCAGGATCATCAGCTTCTCAACGTCCCCGTGGGCGTCGCCGGTGGTAATCATCATCAAGAAGAACGGGGTGGATATACGTCTGTGCATTGATTACCGGCTGGTTAACGGCCTGACTCGATTGATGGTGTATCCGATGCCTCTGATCAATGAGCTGTTGGAAGATTTGGATAAAGCACTCTGGTACTGTTCTCTAGACATGGCCAGTGGTTTCTGGGTGGTTACTATGACGGATCGAGCTCGCGCAATATCCGCATTCATCACACCGTTTGGCCTGTTCGAGTGGACCCGGATGCCGTTTGGATTGAAGAACGCACCCCAGATCTACCAACGCCTCATCGATAACGCCCTCTATGGGTTCACCCGAATACCGGAGCCCGAAACGGGTGGATCCGGGGAAGGTGACGCAGAAGTGAATCCATTCGAAGCGGGGGAGCCAAGGGATCCTGGGACCCCGTCTGTGTTAGGACGCAGATCTTACATCGACGACATTCTGATCCCGGCGGAATCGTGGGATCAGTTGTGCGAAAGAGTGACATCCCTACTGGAGGCGTGTACTAAGTGGAATCTCTCTATCAGTGTGGTTAAGAGCTATTGGGGGATGCGCAAGGTGGATTACTTGGGCCATCGAGTTTCCAAGGAGGGATTAGAGGCGAATACTAAGGACCTGTCTTCATTAGCCGATTTGTCCTTCCCACAGTCGTTACGAGCGATGCAATCCTTCTTGGGCAGTTTGAACTACTACAGTCGGTTCATCGAAGATTACGCCCTGTTTGCCGCGGTGTTGTATGAATTAAGAGAGGTAGATTTTGCTGCGATGACCGCTCCAGCTGTCCAGATGAAAATCCAACGAGCTCTGGCCCGGGAGATGTCGGATCCACGAAGGGATCCAAGTGGTATGACGTCAGAAGAGGACCTAACACAGGAGCTGGATCCACTCCGAGACCAACAGAGAGAGGATCCAGTCTGGATAGAGACGACGGATCAGAACTTGGAAAAGGCAGAATCTCGGTGGATCCGAGCTCAACACGCATTCGTGGAACTGAGGAACAGGATCGCGACCACGCCTATCCTCCGTCATTTCGATCCGGAACGTCAACCTACGGTAATAGTTTATGCCAGTGACTGGGCAGTCTCAGCAGCTCTGGTGCAAGAACATGAGGGGATATGTCATCCAGTCACCTTTGTCAGCCGGACACTGAAGCCGAATGAACTGAACTACGGAGCGGTGGAGAAAGAGATACTTGCGCTCCTGCGCGTGTTGGATCTAAATTATAACCTGCTAGTGGGAAGATCCATCCGGATCCTAACTCGACACTCCACGCTAGCCTGGCTGTTCAAGTCGGCCGGGTTGCAAGGACGTTTAGGACAGTGGGCAGCTTTACTCTCACCTTGGACGCTGGAGATTGTGAAATGTTCGAAAGGGGAAGACGAGATCCTGGGAGTCTTGGCCGCGAGCATCACTCCTCGAGCTAAGATGGATGAGGCGCTGACTAAGATCGCCCCTAAGAAAGAGCCCAAACGCCGGATCCAGATCCCGATCCCGACGGTACAGGTGGATGAGGATCTATACGTCCTGAGTTTCGATGGATCCGCTCGTGTACGACGCGGAGGAGGAGCATACAGTGCAATACTGTGGAGATTGCCCGGATGGGAAGTTGTACGGGCCAGATCCACTTACGCGGAAGGCCTCACCGTCAATGAAGCGGAGTATAACGGACTCCTTCTGGGTTTGGATTTACTAAAGGGACAAGATCCAAAACGGCTGGTGATTTGTGGGGATTCAAATTTGGTAATCAGACAGGTGCGAGGTGAGATTGACTGCAAGGCCCCGGCCCTAACACTGTTACGGCAGAAAGTGATGATCCACCTGCGTGGTTGGTTGAATCACGAGTTGGTGCATGTCAAGCGAGATTGGAATGCCAGTGCGGATAGTTTGGCCAGTGCCGCTTTACGGAATCAATGTGGTGTCGAAGTGGAGGGAGAAGCCGAACATCAGGATCTCGTTACGTTGAACCGACTTGACGAAGTGGTAGTGGTTGGATCCGGGAAAAGGACAGTCCACTTGAGCGTGAACTCCCCCAGCGCGTATTCCGCGTACACCGCAGTGCCCATACCAAGCCGTTTGGGCTCATAACCTGTAGGAAATGTAGAATCGAGTAGATGTGAATGACTTGGATTGAACGCGTGCCAGACGCGTTTCGGCCCCCGCCGGGGCCTCGTCAGTGGCTTTACCAATCTCGAAGTGAGAGCTAACCAACCATCCGCTAACTAAGACCTATCACTATGCCTAGATCCTTCTAGAACCTTCCATATGCCGTAACATAGGATACTACTCTGGAGTCGATGTACGTGCACATCTTGCACTTCCAACACTCCCCCTCGACGACATGAGTCGTAGCCGTCTTGGTCACGAGCGTACAGCCATTCTGCTGCTCTCCGCATGATGCTTGTCAGCTGCAGCCTCTTCACTGCATACATTCTTGTAGAGTTTACCACCTGCGCACTGGCCAGCGTATCCGTTGCTGCCGCGTTCGCTAAGTTTCCCGGCTCCCTCATGTTCACCACCACGTCGTCCCTTGACACCTTGTAGCCGTCCTTGAGCCTTGCTTGAGCTTGTTGTTGTTCCCCTTCTCGATCGACCTCTTTCGATCCACCACTCACACCACTCGAAACCACCTCCTTGTGCAGAACTCGGCCGTCCTTTTCCCGAACGCAAAGAGCGACTGCGTGTCCACCGCGCACTTGTATGGTCCGCTCCCCCTGTCGTCGGAGCCCGTTGCTTCCGCGACGACTTGAGCGTGAACTCCCCCAGCGCGTATTCCGCGTACACCGCAGTGCCCATACCAAGCCGTTTGGGCTCATAACCTGTAGGAAATGTAGAATCGAGTAGATGTGAATGACTTGGATTGAGCGCGTGCCAGACGCGTTTCTGCCCCCGCCGGGGCCTCGTCAGTGGCTTTACCAATCTCGAAGTGAGAACTAACCAACCATCCGCTAACTAAGACCTATCACTATGCCTAGATCCTTCTAGAACCTTCCATATGCCGTAACATAGGATACTACTCTGGAGTCGATGTACGTGCACATCTTGCACTTCCAGCACTCCCCCTCGACGACATGAGTCGTAGCCGTCTTGGTCACGAGCGTACAGCCATTCTGCTGCTCTCCGCATGATGCTTGTCAGCTGCAGCCTCTTCACTGCATACATTCTTGTAGAGTTTACCACCTGCGCACTGGCCAGCGTATCCGTTGCTGCCGCGTTCGCTAAGTTTCCCGGCTCCCTCATGTTCACCACCACGTCGTCCCTTGACACCTTGTAGCCGTCCTTGAGCCTTGCTTGAGCTTGTTGTTGTTCCCCTTCTCGATCGACCTCTTTCGATCCACCACTCACACCACTCGAAACCACCTCCTTGTGCAGAACTCGGCCGTCCTTTTCCCGAACGCAAAGAGCGACTGCGTGTCCACCGCGCACTTGTATGGTCCGCTCCCCCTGTCGTCGGAGCCCGTTGCTTCCGCGACGACTTGAGCGTGAACTCCCCCAGCGCGTATTCCGCGTACACCGCAGTGCCCATACCAAGCCGTTTGGGCTCATAACCTGTAGGAAATGTAGAATCGAGTAGATGTGAATGACTTGGATTGAGCGCGTGCCAGACGCGTTTCTGCCCCCGCCGGGGCCTCGTCAGTGGCTTTACCAATCTCGAAGTGAGAGCTAACCAACCATCCGCTAACTAAGACCTATCACTATGCCTAGATCCTTCTAGAACCTTCCATATGCCGTAACATAGGATACTACTCTGGAGTCGATGTACGTGCACATCTTGCACTTCCAACACTCCCCCTCGACGACATGAGTCGTAGCCGTCTTGGTCACGAGCGTACAGCCATTCTGCTGCTCTCCGCATGATGCTTGTCAGCTGCAGCCTCTTCACTGCATACATTCTTGTAGGGTTTACCACCTGCGCGCTGGCCAGCGTATCCGTTGCTGCCGCGTTCGCTAGGTTTCCCGGCTCCCTCATGTTCACCACCACGTCGTCCCTTGACACCTTGTAGCCGTCCTTGAGCCTTGCTTGAGCTTGTTGTTGTTCCCCTTCTCGATCGACCTCTTTCGATCCACCACTCACACCACTCGAAACCACCTCCTTGTGCAGAACTCGGCCGTCCTTTTCCCGAACGCAAAGAGCGACTGCGTGTCCACCGCGCACTTGTATGGTCCGCTCCCCCTGTCGTCGGAGCCCGTTGCTTCCGCGACGACTTGAGCGTGAACTCCCCCAGCGCGTATTCCGCGTACACCGCAGTGTCCATACCAAGCCGTTTGGGCTCATAACCTGTAGGAAATGTAGAATCGAGTAGATGTGAATGACTTGGATTGAACGCGTGCCAGACGCGGTTTCGGACCCCCGCCGGGGCCCTCGTCAGTGGCTTTACCAATCTCGAAGTGAGAACTAACCAACCATCCGCTAACTACGACCTATCACTATGCCTAGACCCTTCTAGAACCTTCCATATACCGTAACATAGGATACTACTCTGGAGTCGATGTACGTGCACATCTTGCACTTCCAACACTCCCCCTCGACGACATGAGTCGTAGCCGTCTTGGTCACGAGTGTACAGCCATCGGCTGCTCTCCGCATGATGCTTGTCATCTGCAGCCTCTTCACTGCATACATTCTTGTAGGGTTTACCACCTGCGCGCTGGCCAGCGTAACCGTTGCTGCCGCGATCGCTAGGTTTCCCGGCTCCCTCATGTTCACCACCACGTCGTCTCTTGACACCTTGTAGCCGTCCTTAAGCCTTGCTTGATAGAGCTTGTTGTTGTTCTCCTTCTCGATCGACCTCTTTCGATCCACCACTCCACACCACTCGAAACCCACCTTCTTGTTGCCAAAACTCGGCCGTCCTTTTCCCAAATGCAAAGAGCGACTGCGTGTCCATCGCGCACTTGTATGTTCCGCTCCCCCTGTCGTCGGAGCCCGTTGCTTCCGCGACGACTTGAGCGTGAACTCCCCCAGCGCGTATTCCGCGTACACCGCAGTGCCCATACCAAGCCGTTTGGGCTCATAACCTGTAGGAAATGTAGAATCGAGTAGATGTGAATGACTTGGATTGAACGCGCGCCAGACGCGTTTCGGCCCCCGCCGGGGCCTCGTCAGTGGCTTTACCAATCTCGAAGTGAGAACTAACAAACCATCCGCTAGCTAAGACCTATCACTATGTCTAGATCCTTCTAGAACCTTCCATATGCCGTAACATAGGATACTACTCTGGAGTCGATGTACGTGCACATCTTGCACTTCCAACAGTAAGCAAGTAACGGACACCCCAGACCCGTTACACCACCGGTCCGCAGTGTATCCGATCAATATCTATACATACGCCCCGGAGAGAACCCGGACGGACAGAATGGTGGGGACTACTTCTTAGTAAAGCAAGCGCGTATCGCGCACTACCAACAGACATGCATTGGATTCAAGAAACCCAACACCATGTTGGACGCGTGTGTATCATTACGTAGAAACGGTGGCGAAGGTGATTCACCCTGCATCAGTGATAATGGAGAGGACAGTAACTGCGACAGAAGTTTAGGATTACACTGCACACAACCGTAGCCGAAATGTTATCAGAATTGCCGCTCTGACAGAAGAAAATGACCGTAGCGACACGGTTTGTCTACGTGATATTTTTTTCTGGTGGCAATAGGGATCATAGAGCGCTTGATAAACAGGACTCTGTGGTCACCGACACGGGTGATCTTTCGAACCAATCGACGCCTGATTTATTGGACACAGCCCCGAGCCCGGACGTTGCAAGTCGTTTTGTGGGTTTTAAGTGTGCTGTTTGCAGCTTAACATGCTCTTTATATCGCAAGTGCTCAAGGTGTAAAAAACCAATGCATCACGTTTGCTCTTACGACGTGTGCAAGTCAATGAATATTCGTGGTGCAAACGGCAAACTCATGGAAAATG